TCAGTAGTTATGGAGATACCAGCTTACATGTAAAAACTTAACCACAGGGATACCGACTCATGGGTGACTGCATTAGGTCAAATATTCTGCGAATAGTCAAGCTAAAAATGTCATTTGTTCTTTTTAGTGTTCACAAATTTTGTTATTATTGTTATATTTAGTATATTTTAATATTATAATTTTAGAAGAAAAGACAAGAGGGCCATGATGGCCCTGAGTCGCTCACCAGAAACAACTGTTTTTCAGTGTTATTTTTCAAAAAACTTGCTGAAAGACCAGTCCAGCTCAAATTTTACTTGCCCTTCTAATTATTGAAATATTTTGCCCTAATATTTTGGAGGCTTTGTTAGAAATATCTATGTTGCAAATGTGTTCCCATGAGACTATGTAGAATAAAATAATGCAGAATAAAAAGGTCTAGGATTTCATGATATTTACGGACAGTGTCTCTGTAAATTTTTGGACAAGCCATAATTTTACAGATTTTTGTATCTGTAAATTTAAAGACATTAAGAAAATAGTAGAAGCTGCATTAAATTCAAAACCACAGGTTAAAATTAACTAGAACTATCACTAAATGTGATTAATACCCCCCGCAAGACTGCTTCGGAAATGAGGATGTTACTAGTAACAGAATACCTTGTAAAGAATTGAAACAGAGTTATGGTTGTGGGCAATTAAAGATAGTTGTGGTTCTTGTATGTTGCATTTCCTTTCAATGTGGTTGGCCATTGTTTTATTGGATTACTCTGTAAGAAGTCCAGAAAGACAAGTAAAAGGAACAAAGGGCAATAACGCTATAAATACTGAAGATTGAGTTATGGCTATTGTACACTGCACTTCATCTCACTGCCCTTGACCATTGTATAAAGTTTCATTGAATTCCAACCATTAATTTTCAAGTTATGCATTGGACAATAAAAAGGAACAAAGGGCAAAAACTTTTAAATTAGTCAAAAAAGAGTTATGCTTTCTGTGCACTGCACTCCCTCTCAATATACTTGACCATAGTATGAAATAGTTTTGAATTCCAACTAGTAGTTTTCAAGTTATGCTCTGGACAAGGAAAAGTAACAAAGGGCAGTAACTCTGTAATTAGTCAAAATGGAGTTATGGTTCTTGTGCACTGCACTTTCTCTTATTATGCTTGACCATTGTATGAAGTTGTTTTAAATTCCAACCAGTATGTTTTAAGTTATGCTCCAGACAAGGAAAAGTATCAAAGGGCAATAACTCTGTAATTTGTCAAAATGGAGTTATAATTCTTGTGCACTACATTTCCTCTTAATGTGCTTGACAAGTGCATGAAGTTGTTTTGAATTCCAACCAGTAGTTTTCAAATTATGCTGCAGACAAAGAAAAGTAACAAAGGGCAATAACTCTGTCATTAGTCAAGATGGAGTTATGGTTCTCATGCACTGCACTTCCTCTCAATGTGCTTGACCATTGTATGAAGTTATATTGAATTCCAACTAGCAGTCTCCAATTTGCTCCGGACAAAAAAAAGCAATCGAAAAGTAACAAAGGGCAATAACTCTGTAATAAGTCAAAATGGAGTTATGGTTCTTGTGCATGGCACTTCCCCTTATTGTGCTTGGCCATTGTATGAAGTTGTTTTGAATTCCAACCAGTAGTTTTCAAGTTATCCTCCAGACAAGGAAAGTAACAAAGGGCAGTAACTCTGTAATTAGTCAAAATGGAGTATGGTTCTCATGCACTGCACTTCCTCTCAATGTGCTTGACCATTGTATGAAGTTATATTGAATTCCAACAATTATTCTTCAAGTTTGAGTCCGGACAAAAGAAAGCAATGGAAAAATAACAAAGGGCAATAACTCTGTAATTATTTTAGATAGAGTTATGGTTCTTGTGCACTGCACTTCCCCTTATTGTACTTGACAATAGTATGAAGTTGTTTCTAGTTTCAACCAGTAGTTTTCAAGTTATGCTCCGGACAAGGAAAAGTAACAAAGGGCAGTAACTCTGTAATTAGTCAAAATGGAGTTATGGTTCTTGTACACTGCACTTTCTCTCAATGTGCTTAACCATTGTATGAAGTTATATTGAATTCCAACTGTTAGTCTTCAAGTAATAGTCCGGACAAAAGAAAGCAATGGAAAAATAACACAGGGCAATAACTCTGTTATTACTTTAGATAGAGTTATGGTTCTTGTGCACTGCACTTCCCCTTATTGTGCTTGACAATTGTATGAAGTTGTTTCGAGTTTCAACCAGTAGTTTTCAAGTTATGCTCCGGACAAGGAAAAGTAACAAAGGGCAATAACTCTGTAATTAGTCAAGATGGAGTTATGGTTCTTGTGCACTGCACTTCCTCTCAATGTGCTTGACCATTGTATGAAGTTATATTGAATTCCAACCATTAGTCTTCAAGTTATGCTCCGGACAAGGAAAATGCAACGGACCGCTGGACCGACTGACCAACCGACCGACCGACCAACCGACCGACCACCGGGTGACTCCTATATACCCCCCCAAACTTCGTTTTTGGGGGTATAATAAGGTTACATACAAAATGATTAAATGTAACAGTACTGTGAGATTCAAAACAATATGATGACTTTCAATTTTCACTTTTATTGAATATTTCAAAATCATCATACAAAGATGAAACTCACCACATTACCTTGTAAATATAAACAATCAATAAAAAAAACAGTCAGAAGCTGCGGATTTTAGTGTAAAATTAAAAACAGCAAATTTCACATTGGATATAGATTTGTAAATTTATGGATTGAAAAATCTTTAAATCTCTAGACTATCCATAAATTTACGGACAGTCCATAAATATCATGAAATCCTAGACCTGATAAATGACCACTACAGCAGAGTTAATTTTGATGGAACATTTTTTCTTTATAACTTTTGTAAATGAATACACAAAATGTCACATGCAAAATATGCAAGTTGTTTACAGTATGGGATAACAAACTTTTTATTTGAGGGCAAATTCGTGCCCAATCGGTAAAATTATGGAGCTTTGGTAGCGTCTCTCTTACGGAACGGAATTCGTAAAAATTACCTTCCACGTCTGGATCATAGCCAAGGTAGGAATAGTTTACTACTAGTTATAAATTACACTAACATGCCCAACAGCTAAGCCTGACACACTAATTCCGAACTTCTGTCAACTCCAGTAACCAGTACCATAAGGTACTACAAAACTCTAAAGTTTGGGCATCCTGATGTGAATTACTTGTCTTTATTTTCAGTAATACAAACTGTGCAAGTCATTTTTAACCCAAAAATTCCTTTCAAGCCAGTCGCTACGAAAAACTCGCTTTGGAGCATTTATCATTTTGCTTGGATTTCTCAGTTGTTTCAGCATTCGCCGATTGATTTGGTTGGGAAGCCTCATTTGGTATAGGCGCAGAGTTGTTTACGGTAGATTCTGTCACTCCATCATCGTTAACATTGTCTTTATTGAAGAATGAAGTCAATCTTCGCTGCTTCTTTTTGGAAGCAGACATTGTGAATTTACCCAGATAATGATGTCACAATCTGAAGCGTCTGAGTGCTTTTAACATGTAATAATCACTAAAGCGTCTAAGATAAATCATGTGACCGATCAGCTGATGAAATTCATGCTATTTATAGAAAAAAATATATACTAAGACGCTTGCAAAAATATGCGCCACGGAAAACGCACGGCTATAATATTACCGCATCAAATGCAAAAGTACTGTGTCAAAAAGGCATAAAACGCTCTCCAGAGAAAACACTGCATGTAGTGATGTAATTAAGTGAATATAAATGAAACCAAATAAAGCTTGATACTAAGTCCTTATATATCTTGTATAATGAGCTTAAGTTATTTCATAAGAGGTCATGACCTCAAATAATTTCATCAGCAAACAGCAGGTCATTCACATGGATGAAAGAAATTCCAACAGGAGTTGTTTCCCTTTCATTAAACTATAATTTGAAGAAATGCCATGGTCTGGGGTATCTTAGCTTTAGCACTCCCTTAAAGGGGCCAATCAAATAAATATGAGCAATTTTTATAAAAGATTACTATAAGAATGCTAATAACAAAGTTTGGTGATAACCCATCAATAAGTTCTGTAGAAAAACCTGTCTAAAGGTTTATATTTTTTTTAGCTCCCTTGACCCCTAAAAGGGGCCAATCAAATTAATATGAGCAAATTTGATAAAAGACTACCTAAGAATGCTACAAAGTTTGGTGATCATCTTTCAATTGGTTCTGTAGAAAAAGATGTCGAAATGATTTTCTATTTTTAGGTCTAGAGACCCCTAAAAGTGGCCAATCAAATAAATATGAGCAAATTTGATAAGAGACTACCCAAGAATGCTACAGACAAAGTTTGGTGATCATCCATCAAATAGTTCTCTAGAAAAAGATGTTTAAAGTAATTTCTATTTTTAGCTTTAGCAGCCCCTAAAAGGGGCCAATCAAATTAATATGAGCAAACTTGATAAAGGACTATCCAAGAATGATAGAGACAAAGTTTGGTTATCATCCATCCATTAGTTCTGTAGAAGAAGATGTCTAAAGGTTTTTTCTATTTTTAGCCCTAATGACCCCTAATAGGGGCCAATCAAATTAATATGGCAAACTTGATAAAAGAATACCAAAGAATGCTACAGACAAAGTTTGGTGCTCATCCATCAATTAGTTCTGTAGTAGAAGATTTTTAAAGGTTTTTCTATTTTTAGCTCTGTTGACCCCTTAAAGGGGCCAATTGAAATGACATGAGCAAATTCAAGTGTGACTGTCACAAGGATGCTACAGACCAAATTTGAAGTAAATCTGTCCAGCGGTTTCAGAAAAGAAGACGATTGTTGATGCATGACGACGGATGACGAACGCCGGAGTATCCCCCTTTGATACTTATAGCTCACCCTGAGCCTTCGGCTAAAAAATAGATGATTGAAAAGAAAACTGAAATCTTAAGATCTACTTTAAATGATTGAAATAAGATGATGGATGAGCAAATAAGTGAAACATTATAAAATCTTACCATTATTGCCAGGTCCAATTCTATTCACTGAAAAATACAAGTTTTTATTTAATTTTTAATTTCACAAACCCTAACATGTCAATTTGTTAAACATCATTTGAAACTAAAGTGTCAAGACTTTTCCTTTTTTTTTTTGGCTTGATTTTCTGGTGCACCAACACAATTATTTAGGTCATATGGCACTGAAACAGGAAAGATGTTTTTGGTTAACCTTGTGTGTATTTTTCTGTTGTTTCTGGGTCTAATGTGCCACAAACACAATATAGGTAATAGGGTGACTTTCAACCTTTACTGGTGGAAGAAGACCTCAGGTACCCCATTCTGTACATTATTTCAGGCAAAAAAGGGCACTTTGGGTGTTACATACTTAAGCAATACTAGAGGGTAAAAATATTTCACCTCTTGGAGCTAACAGATGAATAGACTCCAGTAATTCAAACCCATTTAGTTTATGATCTGGCAGAAATAAACAGTTCTGATGCCTCAACCGTTAAAGGCAACGCTTAAGCCACAAGGGGGCATTAAATTTTCTGTCTTTCATGAAATCTTTATCTAAACCTGTTTTTGCTAATTCCTTCCTTTTTCATTTAAAAATAATGTAGTTCTTAACAGAAAGTGACCAAAGTATTCATAAAGTATTCAAGGTGTTTGTTCATAAAACAAGAGAGCCATGATGGCCCTGAGTCACTCACCAGAAACAACTGAGTTTTTTTAGTGTTGGAAATAATCCTTTGTCAATATTTTTCATATTAAATTTGAGCCTAAAATATGTTTAAAAAATAACTTGAAGAAATGCAATGACCTGGGGCATTTAAGCTTTAAGCTTTAGCTTAAATGGGGCCAATCAAATTAATATGAGCAAACTTGATAAAAGACTACCTATGAATGCTACAAAGCTTGGTGATCATCTATCAATTATTTCAGTAGGAAATGATGTTCAGGGTTTTTCAATTTCTGGCTTTTGTGGCCCCTAAAAGGGGCCAATCAAATTAATATGAGCAAACTTGATAAATGAGTACCAAAGAATGCTACAGACAAAGTTTGGTGATCATCCATCAATTAGTTCTGTAGAAGTAGACTTTTCAAGGTATTTCTATGATTAGCGTTAGCGGCCCCTTAAAGAGGCCAATCAAATTAATATGAGCAAACTTGATAAAAGACTACCCAAGAATGCTACAAACATAGTTCTGTAGAAAAAGACGTTTAAAGGTATTTCTATTTTTAGCTTCAGCCGCCCCTAAAAGGTTCCAATCAAATTAATATGAGCAAACTTGATAAAAGACTACCTAAGAATGCTACAGACAAAGTTTGGTGATCATCCATCAGTTAGTTCTGTAGAAGAAGATGTTTAAAAGTTTTTCTATTTTTAGCCCTAGAGACCCCTAAAAGGGGCAAATTACTTTAATATGAGCAAACTTTATAAAAGACTAACCAAGAATGCTACAAAGTTTGGTGATCATCCATCCATTAGTTCTGTAGTAGAAGATGTTTTTCTATTTTTAGTTCTGTTGCCCCCTTAAAGGGGCCAATTGAAACTAGAACTATCACTTAATGTGATTAATACCCCCCGCAAGACTGCTTCGGAAATGAGGATGTTACTAGTAACAGAATACCTTGTAAAAGAATTGAAACATAGAGTTATGGTTGTGGGCAATTACAGATAGTTGTGGTTCTTGTATGTTGCATTTCCTTTCAATGTGGTTGGCCATTGATGAAGTTTTATTGGATTACTCTGTAAGAAGTCCAGAAAGACAAGGAAAAGGAACAAAGGGCAATAACTCTATAAATACTGAAGATTGAGTTATGGCTATTGTACACTGCACTTCCTCTCATTGCACTTGACCATTGTATGAAGTTGTATTGAATTCCAACAACTAGTTTTCAAGTTATGCACTGGACAAAAAAGTAACAAAAGCAATAACTGTAAAAAGTCCAAATAGAGTTATTGTTCTTGTGCACTGCACTTCATCTCACTGCCCTTGACCATTGTATAAAGTTTCATTGAATTCCAACCATTAATTTTCAAGCTATGCACTGGACAATAAAAAGTAACAAAGGGCAACAACTTTTAAATTAGTCAAAAAGAGTTATGCTTTCTGTGCACTGCACTTCCACTCAATATACTTGACCATAGTATGAAATAGTTTTGAATTCAAACTAGTAGTTTTCAAGTTATGCTCTGGACAAGGAAAAGTAACAAAGGACAGTAACTCTGTAATTATTCAAAATGGAGTTATGGTTCTTGTGCACTGCACTTTCTCTTATTGTGCTTGACCATTGTATGAAGTTGTTTTAAATTCCAACAAGTATGTTTTAAGTTATGCTCCAGACAAGGAAAAGTATCAAAGGGCAATGACTCTGTAATTTGTCAAATGGAGTTATAATTCTTGTGCACTGCATTTCCTCTTAATGTGCTTGACAACTGCATGAAGTTGTATTGAATTCCAACCAGTAGTTTTCAAGTTATGCTCCAGACAAGGAAAAGTAACAAAGGGCAATAACTCTGAAATTAGTCAAGATGGAGTCATGGTTCTCATGCACTGCACTTCCTCTCAATGTGCTTGACCATTGTATGAAGTTATATTGAATTCCAACTAGTAGTCTTCAAGTTATGCTCCAGACAAAAAAAAAGCAATCGAAAAGTAACAAAGGGCAATAACTCTGTAATTAGTCAAAATGGAGTTATGGTTCTTGTGCATGGCACTTCCCCTTATTGTGCTTGGCCATTGTATAAAGTTGTTTTGAATTCCAACCAGTAGTTTTCAAGTTATGCTCCGGACAAGGAAAAGTAACAAAGGGCAGTAACTCTGTAATTAGTCAAAATGGAGTTATGGTTCTCATGCACCGCACTTCCTCTCAATGTGCTTGACCATTGTATGAAGTTATATTGAATTCCAACAATTAGTCTTCAAGTTTGAGTCCGGACAAAAGAAAGCAATAGAAAAATAACAAAGGGCAATAACTCTGTAATTACTTTAGATAGAATTATGGTTCTTTTGCACTGCACTTCCCCTTATTGTGCTTGACAATTGTATGAAGTTGTTTCGAGTTTCAACCAGTAGTTTTCAAATTATGCTCCGGACAAGGAAAAGTAACAAAGGGCAGTAACTCTGTAATTAGTCAAAATGGAGTTATGGTTCTTGTACACTGCACTTCCTCTCAATGTGCTTAACCATTGTATGAAGTTATATTGAATTCCAACTGTTAGTCTTCAAGTTATAGTCCGGACAAAAGAAAGCAATGGAAAAATAACAAAGGGCAATAACTCTGTTATTACTTTAGATAGAGTTATGGTTCTTGCGCACTGCACTTCCCCTTATTGTGCTTGACAATTGTATGAAGTTATTTCGAGTTTTAACCAGTAGTTTTCAAGTTATGCTCCGGACAAGGAAAAGTAACAAAGGGCAATAACTCTGTAAATAGTCAAGATGGAGTTATGGTTCTTGTGCACTGCACTTCCTCTCAATGTGCTTGACCATTGTATGAAGTTATATTGAATTCCAACCATTAGTCTTCAAGTTATGCTCCGGACAAGGAAAATGCAACGGACCGCTGGACCGACCGACCGACCAACCGACCGACCACAGGGTGACTCCTATATACCCCCCCCCCAAACTTCGTTTTTGGGGGTATAATGACATAAGCAAATTCAAGTGTGACTGTCACAATGATGCCACAGACCAAATTTGAAGTAAATCTGCCCGGCAGTTTTAGAGAAGAAGACGATTGTTGAGGCATGACGCTGGACCCTGAGCATCCCCCTTTGATACTAATAGCACACCCTGAACTTTCAGTTCTACTGAGCTAATATGAAACAATGACAACAAGAGCTATCACTAAAGGTGATTAATACTTTCACCAGTCCTGCTCCTCAAGTTTTTGAAAACAGCGCTCACCAAGTCAGACACATCAGAGGAAGAATACTGTAGTAAAGAATACTCCAAGAAACCACTTTAACAAAATATTAATCAAATTTCATATGTACCTTGACAGTCAGTCTTTCCAAGGTCAAGGTTGCAGTTAAATTTATCAGGTTTTTGTTATCATATAACTAAGTTATGAAAATTTAAACAAAATTTTGATTTCTGATCTTGACAGTCAAGGTCAATGTAAGGTCAAAGAAATATCATAATAATTCACCATGTCAGCTCTGTCATATGTGTTCTTTTGTCAAAGTATCGATCATATATGAAAATAAATAACAAATTTATGATGGTCAAGGTCAAATAATGGTCAAGTTTTGATTATCTGACATATCAGTTTGGTTGTAAGGTCTCATTTGTTCAAATCTGTAAATACATTATAAAGTTATGAAAATCCTAGCTATATTCAACATTTGACCTCGATGGTCAATGTCATTTATAGGTTAAGTTCATGTTTAAATTACTTAACATATCAGGTTTGTTATAATTGTTCTTTTGCCCAAGTAAGAATCAAATCCATAAACAAAAGCTATCAGTGATCACATGTGTGGCTTCATGATAGACATAACTGGATTTTACCTAAAAATCTGTGTAATATGCAAAGGAACTTGAGCTGTAAAGTTTCATTGACATTGCATTAGTGGTATAACAGGACTTGTCAAGACAATTTTTTAAATTTTAAATTAAAATCAAGGGCAAAAACTCTGACAACAAGAGGGCCAAGATGGCCATAGATCCATCAACTGATCTATCAAACTCATTTGTGCAATTACTTAGACAAGCTTCCTGACCAAGTTTGATGACAATTAAGTCAAAAATGTGACCACAAGGTTTTTCCATATTTGGCAGTGTGACCTATATTTGACTCCAAGTGACCAATATTCGAACTTGACCTAGAAATCATCAAAATAAACTTTCAGACCAATTTCTAGGATATTTGGAAAACAACAGTGACCACCACAGAGTTTAAACAAGATTTTTCCATTTTTAGCTCCTGTATAAGAGATGACCCATGAGCATTAAACTAGACAAGCATCCTGACCAAGTTTAATGACAATTGTGTCAAAATTGTGACCACTAAAGTGTTAACAAGGTTTTTCCATATTTGGATGATGGGACCTAGTTTATGACCCCAGGTGACCCATAAATTGAACTTGACATAGAAATCATCAAAACAAGTTTTCAGACCAATTTCCAGGATATTTGAATCAAAACAGTAGTCACTAGAGTGACAACAAGAGTTTTCGATTTTAAGCTCCTGTGAACTCGTTTTTGATCTGAGATGACCAATGTTGGAACTAATCCGAACAATTACCTAGAAAAGCATCCTGACCAAGTTTGATAACAATTGAGTCAAAAACGTGACCACTAGAGTGTTAACAAGGTTTTTCCATATTTGGGCGCTGTGACCTAGTTTTTGACCCCAGGTGACCCATATTCGAACTTGACCTAAAATTGATAAAAGCAAACTTTCAGACCAATTTCTAGGATATCTGGAACAAAACAGTAGCCTCTAGAGTGTTAAAAATATTTTCCTATATTTGCTTCTGTGACCTAGTTTTTTTATCTGAGATGAAGCATGTTCAAACTCAAGCAAGCAATTAACTAGACAAGCATCTCAACAAAGTTTGATGATGATTGGAGCAAAAATTGAGGCAAAAATGTGACCCCTAGAGTGTTAATGAAACAAGAGCCACCGCCGGGCGGGGGCAACGTTCGACTTTTTACTTTTTCTGAAAGCAAACATAGAAAGATTTGAACAAATCTTAACTTTTCCTTTTTATAAATTTAGTTGGTCTGTCTTGTCACATTAGTTTTGTTTGTCTATTTTGTATATATATATATATATATGAATAGATGCAATTCTATAAATAAAAACAAGCAATTCTATAAATAGAAACACGCAATTCTATAAATAGAAACACGCAATGCTATAAATAGAAACATGCAATTCTATAAATAGAAACATGCAACTCTATAAATAGTGACACGCAATTCTATAAAATTCTATAAAAAAAAAAAAAAAAAATATATATATATATATATATATATATATATATATATATATATATATATATACACACACATATACATATATACATACATACATATATGTATATATATATACACACACACACCAATTAATGCACAAATCTGAGAAATTTCAGCAAATTAACCTTCAAGGTCAAGGTCATTAAAGAGCCCAAGCAATTTGGGTTTGATATACAACAAGGTCTGGTCCTTAAGAATGACTGTTCTGTTATAATATGAGGTTGATCCCTTCAATAATAGCAAAGTTACAGTCAGTTACAGCCAAAACAATGAAAATTTCAATAATTTGACCTTCAAAGACAATGTCATTTATGAGTGAAGGTCAAGGTCTTTCGGGTTATTTTTAACAGTTATCCTTGAAGATTATTATGTTCAAGTTTCAAGACAATCCATTCAAAAATAACAAAGTTACAGCCAAATATAGCCAAAAAATGAATATTTCAATAATTTGACCTTCAAAGTCAAGGTCATTTATGAGTGAAGGTCAAGGTCTGTGTGGTTATTTTTAAGGGATATCCTTGATAATTATTATGTTCAAGTTTGAAGACAATTCATTCAAAAATAACAAAGTTTCAGCCAATAACAGCATGAACAAGCAAAATTGGACTTTTACCTTTAAGGTCAAGGTCATTTATGGATGAAGGTCACGGTTTGTGTGGTCTACTGAAAGGTCTTGTCCCAAGGGTTGTTGTGGCCAAGTATGAAGACAATACACCAAGAAATAAAAAAGTTATGATCCAGGTACAATTTTGCGGACGGCAACGGCAACATCAAGGCTACGGCAACGCCGCCGCGACTATAACAATACCTCTACTTTTAAAAAAAAAAAAAAAAAAAGTCGAGCTAATAAAAATGTTTGCCGGGAATAATCCAAATACCTACCCTCAAAATCACATTTCCATTTAATCCTTTTGTCAATCGACATGGTACATATTATTCTCTGAGATAATGGTCCATTTTTAAGTTCATCTTCAATATATTAAGTGTTCCCATACAAATATGGCTATAGTCAGAGCCATTTGGTAAAAAATGCTGGTCCCAAATTCAAAGCGTGACACATTTACAGTCAAGCTGAGAGTCCCTTTTCAATGTGTACTCGAAACATTTTGTAGATGGATTAAATCAGTGATAGTTTTGTTGTTAAATGTTCCCCTGTTATAAAATACAGTGACCCCCAGGTTGGGTTCGATTTTGACCTAAGGAAGTCCATACCAGAGTTCTGCACATCACTCATTATAGGTAATATTTCTGCAAAATAGTTTTTATTTCTTTTCATTTGTTCAAAAGATGCAAAGCAGACACAGAAATATAAAATTCATATAAAATGACCAAGTGTGACTTAGACCCTGCAAACTGCACATAATCACATTATCATAAACATTTCTGCCAAGTCAAGTTTCAATTTCCCATACAGCGTAAAAGAAAGGATGTGTATGATATATAAAAAAACTTACAAAAAACCAGGATAAATATGACAACAGATGGAACTATAGCTAAACATGGAATCACTATAAAAGCTATAGCTGAATGTTTTATCCAATCTTCACAGCATTTTGAATCCTCGCAGCATTCTGAATCCTTGCAGTTTCCTGAAATAATCAAAAATGAATTAAAAGTTAATTATATGAAAACACTGCCAAGTAAGAAAAGCCCCTACCTATTTACACTAAATAGAAACAAAATTCAAGTAAGCTGAAATCAATAGTTTGTTGTTCATTTTACTATATGTTAAACCCCTGTCACACTAGGGCGGCGTTCTCACGGCGTCCAAAGAAAATTTAGAACGCCGAGGTGAGCGCAGTAGGATCGCAAACATCGCCGCAGCATCGCCATAGCATCGCAGTGGCATCGCATAGAACGCCGACCGACGGCGCGCATTTTGAGCATGCTCAAAACAAACGCCGTCACTCGGCGTTCTGAAAAGAGCGCTGTGGGATCGCAGTAAGGACGCCGTAGCAACTCAGTAACATCTTCTACAACGCAACAGGAGCGCCGTGAAAGCGCAGAAGGATCGCCGAATAAACGCCGTAATTAGCCTCGGCGCTTGTACGGAGATTGTACGGCGTCGCTATCGCGTTTATACTCCGTGTGTACGGCGCTCTTACGGAGCTTTATTTTTTCTAAAACGGTCTTGCTGCGACTCTACGGCACTGTCACGGCGACCATTGCGCACTCAAAACGATTCTACTGTGTTCATCTGAAATTGCGGAATACGGTACAGTAGAATCCCTACTTAAGACCACACCAGATTAAGACCAACCCTCTTATTAGACCCATTTTTTAAAAGAACAGAATTTTCTGTTCGTAATGTTAATGGTTACATGATCCACAATTAGGACTACCCCACTTATCCGCATTTAAGACCACAGATTTAGTCCCAATTCATTGTTTTATTATCTAACCCCACAGTTGGGACTACTGATATTCCAGTAAATACCTATTAATATAACAAGTTTTTTGTTATTCATCTGCTTGAATTCTCTAAAGCATGACACTCGAAACATTGTGTTGATTCTGTTATGATTAGAATACTGTATAAAGGTAAGACAATAAATTTCAGATTGGTTTAATGTTACTTTCTGCTCATTTTTTTGTGACGATTTAATTTCTTAATTAATAGGTGAATTATGTACATGAAAAAAGACCTATGAAAATATAATTTATACATTAAATATCGTCAGATTAATGTTCTAATTAAGATTAATAAATTAATAAAATTTCACAACATCAGTTTATAGTAATATTTGAAGGTTATAATATTATTGTTTCAACATGTTTATACATAATAATTCAAATAGAGTGGTCATGAAATAGATATGCCTTGACAATTAATTATATCCACAATTAAGACCACTCGCAATCAAGACTACTTTACTGCAGTCCCTTTTGTGGTCTTAATTAAGGGTTTTCACTGTATATATAGAACGTGAATATCCTTTTAACCATGTATGATGAACGGCAGCAAGCAAGAATACTGCTTGCTTGCCGAACTTGTATGTGAAGCACGATTTCAGCTCAGTGTGAGCGCCGCAATACCGCCGTGTAAGCGCTGTGAAAGCGCAGGGGAAGCGCAAAGAACGCACTAGAAGCGCAGTCCAAACGCACACAATCACCAATGAAAACGCCGTAAGAACGCATTGCAACGCCATGGAAGCTCCGTAGCAACGCCATGCTTGCCGTGAGGACGCCATGAAGACGCCGCGAAGTATCCGTGTCATAAAAAAATTCAGATTTTTCTTGCGATCTCGCGGCGCTTTTAAAAATTTAACAACGCCGTGCAAACGCAGTGACAGCGCAGTCTAGTGTGACAGGGCCTTTACATACATCCCATAGTAACCCCAGCAATATTCTGATGGGCCAGTGGTTATTCAATTATGCCACTGAATGAATGAATGACCTGAATGAATTTAAATCTTTTGAGTTCTTAGTTTGTCTGTATCATATTAATGTGTAAAGAAATTATGTTTATACAACAGATAATCAAAAGATGAAATTTTCTCACAATGAATTTGTTTAACAAACAAGATAATGCTATGCCAATGCATTAATACAACATTAAATAGTAGTGTAGGAACAGATTTTTTTTTGTTTCTATACAATTGAAGATTGTCATAATGTATATCCCTGACCTATCTAATACTTATTATCAGATAAGTGGTTAAATCTATTGTAAATCCAATAAAAGATCAGAGTAGGAATATCTCAATGCACTTGAGTCTGGTGAATTTGGTGGTGAAGGTCATATTTCACACAGCCTAAATTTCGTGACTTCATCATAGGACAACATAGTAAGACACTTTGTCAAAATCTAGGTCAGCTGACATCAAAGTTCACTTTACATCTTAATCTGTGCACATGGTTCAAATTTCATAGCTGTAGACCAAAGGACAAGACAGTAGGTCACATCACCAAATTCTAGGTCCCCTGATATCAAAGTTCAATTATACAACTAAAACTGTGCACATGGTCAAAATTTCATTGCTGTACATCAAAGGACAAGAAAGTAGGTCACTGTCCCCTTGGGCAATGCAAAATTTTGACCCAAGGGTTTAATTCAAAACAATCTTGATATAGGTCCACCAAACAACATTTCAGGTCAAATATCTAAGCTATAGCTTTCTCCCATTCAGAAACATTTGTTTTATTTTCTGTTTTTACTATGTGTACATAATGAGACTCACTGCCCCCGGGCAGGACCAATTTTGACACCAGGGGAAAAATTTGAACAACTTTAGTAGAGGACCCATAGATGATATTATATAACAAATATCAAAGCTCTAAGCCTTGTTCCTTCAGACAAGAAGATTTTTAATTTTTTACTATATGTACATACTGAAAATCAATGATCACTGGGGGTGGAGTCAATTTTGACCCCAGGGCTATAATTTGTACAAATCTTGATAGAGGTTCACTACCCAATGTTTCATGCAAGATATCTTAACTCTAGCCTTTGTAAATTTAGAGAAGATGATTTTTTAAGTTTTTACTATTATACATATAAGGAAAACCTATGGCCCCCGGGGCTATAATTTGAACAATCTAGCTAAAGGTTCACTACACAATGTTTCATGCAAAAAATCTAACCTCTAGCATTTGTCAATTGCTAGAAGAATTTTTTTTAAAGTTTTTACTATATGTTTTTACTATATACATATAAGGAAACCAATGACCCCAGGGCGGGGCTGATTTTGACCCCAGGGCTATAATTTGAACAATCTGGGTAGAGACTACCAGACAATGCCTTATGCAAAATATCTAAGCTCTAGACCTTTTGGGTCTTTACAAGAAGGTATTTTAAGTTTTTACTATATGTACATATAGTGAAAATCAATGACCCCCGGGGCGGGGCCGATTTTGACCCCAGGGCTATCATTTGAACAATCTTGGTATGGGTCTACCAGACAATGCCTTATGCAAAATATCTAAGCTCTAGGCCTTTGTAGTCTTTACAAGAAGGTATTTTAAGTTTTTACTATATGTACATATAGTGAAAATCAATGACCCCTGGGGCGGGACCAATTTTGACCCCAGGACTATAATTTGAACAATTTTGGGAGAGGTCTACCAGACAATGCCTTATGCAAAATATCTAAGCTCTAGGCCTTTTGGGTCTTCACAAGAAGATTTTTTAAATTTATTCTTATAATTCCATTTGGTTGCCACAGCATGGAATGAAATTCTTTGAACAACTTTGGAAGCCCTTCACCCAATTATCAATCCTGCCAAGTTTGGTTGAAATTGGACTGGTGGTTTTTCACAAGAAGATTTTTTAAGTTCACTATATAATCTATAGAACACACACACAAACACACTAACACACAGAACACACACACGCAGGTGAATCGCTATATGCCACTGCATCGCAGATGTTGCGGTGGCATAAAAAGTGAGCATTTTTTCGGCGCCGCCCCCCATCCAAAAGATACATCAGATGTGCCCCCTTCTGTAAGGGGGGTTTGAAGGGGCGGTATTCCCCCTCAATGCCAAGAAAATTTTGGACTTGTGAGGAGCTAAAAATGGGCTTAGGTCGATCTTAACATGTAACCAACGCTGAAAAGCCTTTGACTCCATCTCAATCCATTGAGAAGTTGAAGCACTTTGAAATAAATTTTGATGGAAACAAGAGGGCCATGATGGCCCTGAGGTCGATCACCTGTATATAGGCCCCCCAACCCCCACCCCCCCCCCAACGTTGCAGGGCCAATTTAACCAAGGGGCTTTTATTTGCACAAACTTGATAGACACCCATAAGAAAATGTTTCATGCTAAACATCTAAGCTTTAGCTCATTGGGCTTTTTAAAAGAAGATTTTTTTTAAGATTTTACTATACACATATAGTTAAAAACAAATGACACCCCTGGGGCTGGGCCAGTTTTGACCCCAGGGCTTTTATTTGAACAAACTTTTAAGACACTTACTAGAAGATGTTTCATGCTTAATATCTAAACTCTAGCTATTTGGGTTTTTTTCAAAGAAGATTTTAAGTTTTTGCTATACACATATAAAGAAAATCAATGACCCCCGGGGCGGGGCCAATTTTGACCCCAGGTCTTTTATTTGAACAAACTTTGTAGACACTCACTAAAAGATGTTTCATGCTTAATATCTTAACTCTAGCTATTTGGGTTTTTTCAAAGAAGATTTTTTAAGTTTTTGCTATACACATATAAGGAAAATCAATGACCCCCGGGGCGGGGACAATTTTGACCCCAGGGCTTTTATTTGAACAAACTTGGTAGACACCTATTAGAACATGTTTGATGCTAAATATCTTAGCCATAGCTCTATGAGTTCTTTAAAAGAAGATTTTTAAGTTTTTACTATATGCATATAGGGAAAATCAATGACCCCCCCCACCCCGGGCAGGGCCAATTTTGACCCCAGGGCTTTTATTTGAACAAACTTGGTAGACACTTATTAGAACATGTTTCATGCTAAATATCTTAGCTCTAACTCTTTTGGTTCTTTAACAGAGAATTTTTTAAGTTTTTACTATATACATATAGGGAAAATCAATGCCCCCCTGGGGCGGGGCCAATTTTGACCCAATGGCTTTATTTGAACAAACTTGGTAGACACCTATTAGAA